AATCGGCTCTAGTGGAGACTAATTGCAACATAGGGAATCCCTATACCTCCTAGTCCTCGTCATTCCACGTTAGTTTCTGACCGCTGTCCAACCACACTACATTCGTTGATGGCTCTCTTCCATTTTCTGACCAATCACCTCTCGCTGTCTACAGTAATTTCCCTCGCCAACTGCGCCCAATGTGTTTATTGCAGAATTATTTTGTGCTGTCTGTAAGTGCGCTTTTATCCACCAATGTAAGAAAATTCTCCTTCCCAATGACCATCCATTTCAGGAAGTCCTTCTGCACTGATATGGAAGGTCCTTGACTCACCACCAGTGTTAGAAGAGTCTCCTTCCCAATAACCATCCATTTCAGGAAGTTCTTCTGCACTGATAAGGTCTTTGACTCACCACTAACGTAAGAAAATTCTCCTTCCCAAGGACCATCCATTTGAGGAAGTCCTTCTGCTCTGATATGGAAGGTCCTTTACTCACCACCAATGTAAGAAAGTTCTCCTTCCCAATGACCGTCCATTTCAGGAAGTCCTTCTGCACTGATATAGAAGGTCCTTGACTCACCACCAATGTAAGAACGTTCTCCTTCACAACGACCGTCATTTCAGGAAGTCCTTCTGCACTGATATGGAAGTTCCTTGACTCACCACCAGTGTTAGAAGATTCTCCTTCCCAATAACCATCCATTTCAGGAAGTTCTTCTGCACTGATAAGGTCTTTGACTCACCACTAACGTAAGAAAATTCTCCTTCCCAATGACCGTCCATTTCAGGAAGTCCTTCTGCACTGATATGGAAGGTCCTTGACTCACCCCCAATGTAAGTGTGGGAATCCCAACTGAAAGCTGTGGGGTCAGACTAACAGGCAGAGGGGGCCCCATTTATGGTCCCGGCCTTTTATTGCCTACGTTTTGCTATCATTGCTCGATTCTAGCCAGGTAATAATAAAATTGTCGCAGTTGCACCTCTAAATGTCAAGTTTTCCTGCACAAGTGTGGAGAACTCAAAACCGTTTCACATAATAAAGTCAAGTTTCAGCCTCTTAATACAATAAATAACGGGATCTAGTAGACCCTCAGATGCCAGATAGGTGCCGTCCAGGAACTGAAGAACGGCTTACGCGTTTCGAGGGCAACCCTCTTCCTCAGGGCCAGAATGACAGGATCCCTCCATCACCTTAAATTCTGACATAATATCCAGAGTAGGAGGAGTTTCTGTATATTCTGTCATGGTTATTAGAGCCGATGGATGGATCCTGTCATTCTTGCTCTGAGGAAGAGGGTTGCCCTCGAAACGTGTAAGCCATTCCTCAGTTCCTGGATGAGACCTACACGTTTCAAGGGCAACCTTCTTCCTCAGAGCCAGAATGACAGGATCCCTCCATCACCTTAAATCCTGACATAATATCTGGAGTAGGAGGAGTTTCTGGATATTATGTCATGGTTATTAGAGGCGATGGAGGGATCCTGTCATTCTACCTGAGGAAGAGGGTTGCCCTCGAAACATGTAAGCCATTCAGTTCCTGGATGGGACCTACGCGTTTCAAGGGCAAACCTCTTCTTCAGGATCCCTCCATCACTTTAAATCCTCTGCTAAAAATGACATAATAGCCTGAGTAGGAGGAGTTTCTAGATATTATGTCACGGTTATTAGAGGCGATGGAGGAATGCTGTCATTCTTGCTCTGAGGAAGAGGGTTGCCCTCAAAACGCGTAAGCCATTCAGTTTCTGGATGGGACCTATGCGTTTCAAGGGCAACCCTCTTCCTCAGAGCCAGAAAGACGGGATCCCTCATCACCTTAAATCCTGACATAATATCTGGAAGTAAGAGGAGTTTCTGGATATTATGTCATGGTTAGTAGAGGTGATGGAGGGATCCCGTCATTCTGGCTCTGAGGAAGAGGGTTACCCTTGAACCGTGTAAGCCATTCTTCAGTTCCTCGATGGACCTACACGTTTTGAGGGCAACCCTCTTCCTCAGAGCCAGAATGACAGGATTCCTTCATCACCTTAAATCCTCTGCTAAAAATGACATAATAGCCAGAGTAGAAGGAGTTTCTGGATATTCTGTCATGGTTAGTAGAGGCGATGGAGGGATCCTGTCATTCTGGCTCTGAGTAAGAGGGTTGTCCTCGAAACGCGTACCAAATACAGAAAGGATCACAGTACAGAAATGTAGCTTTCAGTTGGGATCCCCCACCCTTACCGAACGCACTAGGCTGGTGCGCTTTTTTTTTTACTTTTTTTTTTTTTTTTTTTTTTTAACAGTTGCACCTTTGTTACCCCACCTTTGTGAGACATCTGCTGTCACAGTTGCCAGATTGCTGCCCCCATATTGGATATTTAACATGGTGCCAGCTATGGAAGTATTGGAGTAGCTCAGTATTGTTTTATATTCGGACTGTATTACTATCATTTTATTCTTATCAGTATAACCCACATGGAAGAAAAATACATTTTAAAAATACTCTTCCCAAATATATTGACATATATTCGAAATACTACAATTATGGCCATATTCAATATATTTCAATAAAAAAAAAAAAAAAAAAAAAAAAAAAAAAAAAAAAAATATATATATATATATATATATATATATATATATATATATATATATATATATATATTATAATATATATATATATATATATTATATATAAATATATATATATATATATAAAATAAAACACACTATTTGAAATGCATTGTTTATTACCAAACATTTTTTTAAAAATACATTTTCAAATACACTGTATGTCTTTTAAAAACACATTCAATCTACATTTTTGGAATGCCTTTACAAATATATCTTAAAATGACTTTTCTATATGTTAACAAAAAAAAATCTGAATATATTTAAAAAAAAAAAAAATATATTATATATATAAAAAAAAAAAAGTGTATTATATATATATATATATATATATATATATATATAAAATTTTAAAACACTACATGTTGAAATGCGTTTTTACATCATATTACAAAATATATGAAAAATATTTTTAAAAATACATTTTCAAATATACTGTATGTAGATGGAAACACATTCCATCTAAATTTTTGGAATGCATCTACAAATATATGTTAAAATGACTTTTTTATATGTTAAAAAAAAATCTGAAGAATATATTTAAAAAAAAATGTATTTTTAAAAATATTTTTCATATATTTTGTAATATGTAAAAAACAAAAACAAAAAACATTTCAACATGTAGTGTGTGTGTGTGTGTGTGTATATATATATATATATATATATATATATATATAATATATATATATATATATATATATATATATATATATAAATTTTAATATATTGACTAATGGGCAAAATTGTATTTCAAATATATGTCAATACATTTCGGAAGAATATTTAAAAAATATATTTTTTCTTCCATGTGGGAAAGCTGATCAAACACCCCCCCCCTTCCCCTAAGAACACAGATATTTCCTCTATGGTCCTCATCCCGGGTTCATATATGTGTGGTATATCACGATTGGCACAAGAACCGCTCCGCATTCCACTGCCAATTTTGTGTGCGGTGCAATCGGAGTCGCACCTAGGTCATCCAATTCTGCACACTGTTTTGCGGACCGCTTTCGGGGTGCTGTTCAGTTTACACACCCGCGGCAGTCTGCATGAACGCGGTGCGATTCCGATGCTGTGCGGAACCCGGGGCTCCATGTACTGCGATGTGCACCGAACAATGCTTGAGCCTTCCCACCCCTCTAAGAACATCTGAGGCTCACAGGCGTTCCCTGGTGTACCCTCCCCTCCCCCACCCATCACCCATTATGAGGGGCTACCAATATTTTTTGTATTTTAAAGCATGCAAAATGAAAAAAAAAAAAAAAAAAGATATAGAGGAAGGGGGGGGATACCGGAAAGCGGGGGGCGGAGACTGTAGCAGGAACATCCCACCATGGGAGTCTCAAAAACAAAAAAGCCAAAAGGCGACTTCTTCCTCCAGATGTTCCATGGATGAAGTCCAATTACGCTTCTTTAATCTGTAACACATTTCCCGCACTCTGAACGCACCGAGGACGCTGTGCGGTGTGTCTTCACTGGTGTCCTTTCAAAGTGAAACATTTCCCGCACTCTGATTATAGATAAGGACGCGCACCCGTGGGAGTTTTCAGCTATTCGATTAAGTTTCCTTTGTAGGTGAAAGATTTCCCGCACTCTGAACATGATTAAGGACAGGCACCTGTGTGAGTTTTCAGGTGTTCAATTAAGTCTCCTATGTAGGTGAAAGATTTCCCGCACTCTTGATCATGAAAAAGGGCGCGCACCCATTTGAGTTTCCAGGTGTTCGACTAAAGTTTCCTTTGTAGGGGAAAAATTTCCCGCACTCTGAACATGTAAAAGCACGTGCACCTGTGTGAATTTTCTGATGTCTAACCAGGTTTCCTTGAGGAGTGAAACATTTCCCGCACTCTGAACATGATTAAGGACAGGCACCCGTGTGAGTTTTCAGGTGTTCAACTAGGTGAAAGATTTCCCGCACTCCAAACACAAGGACCCTCACCCGTGTGAATTCTCCGATGTTTAACATGGTCTCCTTAATGAGTAAAAGATTTCCCGCACTCTGAGCATGGATAGCCGTGCACGCCTGGATGAATTCCCCGGGTGAGCTGTATAGTGTACCCTAAGAAGCGCTCCTCCTTTCTGAGTGAAAGATTTCACACACTACAGAATAATGATGCTCACTCGTGTGCATTTTCATGTGATCAGCTAGGTTTCCTTTTAGAATGAAAAATTTCCCGCACTTTGAACATAATGCTCACCCATATGAATTCTTAGGTGTCCATTTTTTTTTTTTCTTTTTCTTATGAAAGATTTTCCGCACTCTGAACATAAATAGGGACACACTCACCCACATGAACTGTCTTGGTGTTTTAAACAAGATCACTTTTGTTATGGAAAGATTTCCCGCACTCTGAACATGAATAGAGATGTTCGCTCTTGCAATTTCTTCGGCGATCCACAACATCCCGTTTCTTAAAAAGGTTTTCCCGCACTCTCAACGTGAATAGGAATGTCTTTCTTGTGACTTTTCATGTGTTCAATTAAACCTCCTTTCTGTATGTAAGATTTCCCGCATGCCGTACATGAATAGGGACGCTCGCCCGTGTGAATTCTCTGGTGTCTAACAAGGATTTCTTTATAAATGAAGGACTTCCCGCACTCTGAACATGAATAAGGGCGCTCGCCCGAGTGAACTCTTTGGTGTCTCCCGAGATCTCCCTTGTAAATGTAAGTTTTCCCACACACCGAACACGAATAAGGCCGCTCGCCCGTGTGAACTCTCTGGTGTTCGGTAAGGTCTCCTTTCTGAGTAAAACATTTCCCGCACACGAAACACGGGAACACATTCTGAATTGGGTGGAGTCCTTCAGGGGGTAGGGAGGAATTTGGATGCTCGTCCGTGTGAACTCTCTGGTGTTTCACGAGATTATTTCTGTTATGGAAAGATTTCCCGCACTCAGAACATGAATAGGGGCGCTCATCGGTGTGGATTCTCTGATGTCTGACAAGGATTTCCTTATAAACAAACGATTTCCCGCACTCTGAGCATGAATAGGGGCGCTCTCCCATGTGAATCCTCTGGTGTCTAGCAAGATCTCCCTTGTGGATGAAAGTTTTCCCGCACTCTGAACAGGAATACGGCCGCTCGCCCGTGTGAATTCTTAGGTGTGCAATAAGTGCTCCCTTCCGACTGAAACATTTCCCGCACACTAAACACGAGAATAGATTGTCACCTTGGTGACCCTCTGTATTGGGTGAGGAAATTTCCTTGGGATGAGAAGGATCCGTTGATCGGCCTGCAGTGCGGGAGCTCGAATGTGATCGATCCGAAGATTCCCCCTGATCAGAGGGATCCATCCGTGTCTCCCGACACGAAGATCTTCGCTGCGTTTTTTTTATTTTTGGATGGACTCTTGGAGAATCCTGCGTGGTGGCATTGTCATCCGGGTTACTGTCAGTGGATAATATTCGACGTCTCTCTGAGGGATTCCAGAAACCACACCCATCTGATGGAGAGAAATGGAGAGAGATCAGCGGGGCACAAATAACTGGACTTTTACCTCCCCCCATACGGCTGTGGTGGTGGGTGATGGGGGGGGGGGGGGGTGGGTGATGCTGGGGGGTTGGGGGGGTGGTGGGGGGGGGGGGGGGTTTTGGGGGGGTGGGGGGTGGTGGGTGTTGGTGGTGTTGGGATGGGGGGGTTGGGGGTGTTGGGGGGGGAGGGTGGTGGTGGTGCGGGGGGTGGGGGGGGGTGTGGGGGGGGGGTGGGGGGGGGGGGGGGGGGGGGGGGGGGGGGGGTGGGTGGGGGGGTGGGGGGGGGGGGGGGGGGTGGTGGGGGGGGGGGGGGGGGGGGGGGGGGGGGGGGTGGGTGGTGGGGGGGTGGGGGGGTGGTTTGGGGTGGGGGGGGGGGGTGGTGTGTGGTGGGTGGGGGTGGGGGTGGTGTGGGGGTGGTTGGGGGTGGGGGTGGTGGGGTGGGGTGGTGTGGGGGGGGTGGTTTTGGGGTGTGTTGTTGTTAATGGGGGGGGGGGTGGTGTTGGGGGTGGGTGGTGGGGGGTGGGGGGGGGGGGGGGGTGGGGTAGTGTTGGGGATGGGTTTGGGGTGGTGTTGGGTTGACCTGGGGGTCGCGACCCCTTTGGGGGTCGAACGACGCTTCCACAGGGGTCGCCTAAGACCATCGGAAAACACATATTTCCGATGGTCTTAGGAACCGAGACACCGCTCCTCGCCGCCGCCACCGCCGTCTCCAGGTGTGGGCGGGATGACATGCCGCCCCTGTCATCTGGACACACCTCGAGATCAATCCTCGCCTGTGATTGGCCGCCGGCACTGTAGCTCAGGAGAGGCACACAGGCGGCCAATCACCGGCAAGGAGGTGGAGCTTGGAGAGGAGGAGCCGAGCGGCACCGCGAAGATCGAGCGAGTGAAGAGGAGGAGAGCAGTCGGAGAAGGAAGACATCTGACAGGTAAGTGTCGGTACCATGGGAGAGGGAGGGAGCGAGCGAGCCCAGGCTGGAGCAGGGGTCTGCAAGGTAAGTATCATTGGTGTCAGTGGGAATAGTGCCCCATCATTGGTGTCACTAATACCAATGATGGGGCACTATTCCTCCCACTGACACCAACGATGGGGGCACTATTCCTCCCACTGACACCAACGATGGGGCACTATTCCTCCCCCAAATGACACCAACGATGGGGCACTATTCCTCCCCCACTGACACCAAGGATGGGGCACGATTCCTCCCCCCCACTGACACCAAGGATGGGGCACGATTCCTCCCCCCACTGACACCAACGATGGGGCACGATTCCTCCCCCCACTGACACCAAGGATGGGGCACGATTCCTCCCCCCACTGACACCAAGGATGGGGCACTTTTCCTCCCCCCACTGACACCAAGGATGGGGCACTATTCCTCCCCCCACTGACACCAAGGATGGGGCACTATTCCTCCCCCCACTGACACCAAGGATGGGGCACTATTCCTCCCTGGGGGGGACACCAAGGATGGGGCACTATTCCTCCCCCCACTGACACCAAGGATGGGGCACTATTCCTCCCCCCACTGACACCTATGATGGGGCACTATTCCCCCCACTGACACACCTATGATGGGGCACTATTCCCCCCACTGACACCAATGATGGGGCACTATTCCCCCCCACTGACACCTGATATGATGGGGCACTATTCCTCCCCCACTGACACCAATGATGGGGCACTATTCCTCCTCCCCACTGACACCAATGATGGGGCACTATTCCTCCCACTGATACCGATGATGGGGCACTATTCCTCCCACTGATACCGATGATGGGGCACTATTCCTCCCACTGATACCGATGATGGGGCACTATTCCTCCCACTGATACCGATGATGGGGCACTATTTCCCACTGACACCGATGATGGGGGCACTATTCCTCCCACTGACACCGATGATGGGGCACTATTCCTCCCACTGACACCGATGATGGGGCACTATTCCTCCCACTGATACCGATGATGGGGCACTATTCCCCCCACTGATACCAATGATGGGGCACTATTCCTCCCACTGATACCAATGATGAGGCACTATTCCTCCCACTGACACCAATGATGGGGCACTATTCCCCCCACTGACACCAATGATGGGGCACTATTCCTCCCCCACTGACACCAATGATGGGGCACTATTCCTCCCCCCACTGACACCAATGATGGGGCACTATTCCTCCCACTGATACCGATGATGGGACACTATTCCTCCCACTGATACCGATGATGGGCACTATTCCTCCCCCCACTGACACCGATGATGGGGCACTATTCCTCCCACTGACACCGATGATGGGGCACTATTCCTCCCACTGACACCGATGATGGGGCACTATTCCTCCCACTGATACCGATGATGAGGCACTATTCCTCCCACTGATACCGATGATGGGGCACTATTCCTCCCACTGACATTGATGATGGGGCACTATTCCTCCCACTGATACCAATGATGGGGCACTATTCCTCCCACTGACACCAATGATGGGGCACTATTCCTCCCACTGACACCTATGATGGGGCACTATTCCTCCCACTGACACCAATGATGGGGCACTATTCCTCCCCCACTGACACCAATGATGGGGCACTATTTCCTCCTCCCACTGACACCAATGATGGGGGCACTATTCCTCCCACTGATACCGATGATGGGACACTATTCCTCCCACTGATACCGATGATGAGGCACTATTCCTCTCCCACTGACACCGATGATGGGGCACTATTCCTCCCACTGACACCGATGATGGGGCACTATTCCTCCCACTGACACCGATGATGGGGCACTATTCCTCCCACTGACACCGATGATGGGGCACTATTCCTCCCACTGATACCGATGACGGGGCACTATTCCTCCTCACACTGACACCAATGACGGGGCACTATTCCTCCCACTGACACCAATGACGGGACACTATTCCCCCCCATGACTGACACCAATGATGGGGCACTATTCCTCCCACTGACACCAATGATCGGGCACTATTCCTCCCACTGATACCAATGATGAGGCACTATTCCTCCCACTGATACCAATGATGGGGCACTATTCCCCCCCACTGACACCAATGATGGGGCACTATTCCTCCCACTGATACCAATGACGGGACACTATTCCTCCCACTGATACCATTACACTCCCATGATGACGGGCACTATTCCTCCCACTGACACTACCAATGATTGGTTGGGGGCACTATTCCTCCCACTGACACCAATGACGGGGCACTATTCCTCCCACTGACACCAATGATGGGGCACACTATTCCTCCCACTGACACCTGACGGGGCACTATTCCTCCCCACCAATGACGGGGCACTATTCCTCCCACTGACACCAATGACGGGGCACTATTCCTCCCACTGACACCAATGACGGGGCACTATTCCCCTCCCACTGACACCACAATGACGGGGCACTATTCCTCCCACTGACACCAATGACGGGACACACTATTCCTCCCACTGACACCAATGACGGGGCACTATTCCTCCCACTGACACCAATGACGGGGCACTATTCCTCCCACTGATACCAATGATGGGGCACTATTCCTCCCAATGACACCAATGACGTGGCACTATTTCTCCTACTGCAAAATTACAGTTATATGAAGTAGCAACGAAAATAATTTTATGGTTGGGGGTCACCACAACATGAGGAACTGTATTAAGGGGTCGCGGCGCTAGAAAGGTTGAGAACCACTGTTCTACACAGACGTACAGTGAGACTGCGACCCATTTCTGCGACCCATTTCCTCCACAGTGCCTGCACTTACCTTCATCAATCAGTAGAACCATTTCTTCCTGTTCACTCTTTATATGGATCCCGACCTCCTCTGCAGACGCCGGATCGCCCCCCACACACGTCTCCTCTTCTTCCTCTTTAATCTTTATATTGAACAGCTTTTCAGCCTAAACCCCAAAATAACAGAAAACATCGATCAGCTGCAGGCGGGTATGAAAGATGAAATCCAACGCAGCTCTGAAATCCTGGATACATCAGGAAGTAAGCAGTGTAAGTACCTGACTGGGACCTGGGATCAGGCGCTTGCAGTTCTTGTACAGCAGAGCTCAGACGGGGGAGGAGAAGCAAAAGTAGAGCAAGGAGCCGATAAGCTGTGCGGCAGTGTTAACTGGGGACATACTGACAGGAGGAGAGAGCAGAGTGAAACGAAAAAGGTAAGCTCATCAGTCTGCTGCTTCTCCTTTAAATCCCAACTCCAGGGAACATAAAGTGCTCTGAACCCCCAACAGTACAATCAGCCTGTATATGCAGTAAAGCATACTGGTTATACTCACTGTGGAACCTCAAGGGTTAATCCTCCGCATTGTGTAAAAATGCTGTTTGATCCTGTCTTATCTGATCCTCCCATTCTGCCAGTGCCCCCCTCTTATCTCCCAATAAGACATATCTTGTGGAGACGCTCTGCACATTCTCAGTTTGGTGTGTATTGCTAGAGTTTTTTTTTTTTTCCTCCTTGGGAGGGTGCTTGTGATCAGCACAGGACCAATCAGCCTTGTCCAGACATAGTTCAGGGGTTCTGCATCCTCCTAGAGCAGGATGAAAACTCCTCCTACAAGCTTTAACCACTTGCCCTCCATAGGATTACCCCCGCCCCCCCGACCAGGCCATTTTTTGCATTGGGGCGCTGCGTTAATTTAACTGACAATTGCGTGGTCATGCAACACTGCACCCAAATGAAATTTACGTCCTTTTGTGCCCATGAATTGAGCTTTTTTTTTCGAGGGTATTTGACCGCCTGTGTGTTTTTTATTTTCTGCGCTGTAAACAAAAAAAATAAAAGTTCAGAAGGGATTAAGCTGATTTACATGGAATCTTATGGGAAAATGTGTAACCATAAATCACCAGCGCTAAGAAAAGAAGAAAGAGGAAGAAGAAGGAGGAGGAAGAGAGAAAGAAAGAGGAGAGAAAGAGGAGAAAGAGAAAGAAAAGAGAAAGAAAGAAAGAAAGAAAGAAAGAAGAGAAAGAAAGAAGAGAAAGAAAGAAGAGAAAGAAAGAAGAGAAAGAAAGAAAGAAAGAAAGAAGAGAAAGAAAGAAGAGAAAGAAAGAAGAGAAAGAAAGAAGAGAAAGAAAGAAGAGAAAGAAAGAAGAGAAAGAAAGAAGAGAAAGAAAGAAGAAGGAAGAAGAGAGAAGAAGAAGAAGAAGAAGAAGAAGAAGAAGAAGAAGGAAGAAGAAGAAGAAGAAGAAGAAGAAGAAGGAAGAAGAAGAAGAAGAAGAGAAGAAGGAAGAAGAAGAAGAAGGAAGAAGAAGAAGAAGAAGAAGAAGAAGAAGAAGGAAGAGGAAGGAAAGGAAGGGAAGGAAGGAAGGAAGAAGGAAGGAAGAAGGAAGAAGAAGAAGGAAGAGAAGAAGAAGAAAAAGAAGAAAGAAAAAGAAGAAGAAGAGAAGAAGGAAGAAGAAGAAGTCCGCTATTATATTTTATATGAAAAAGTCTTGCGGTTGCAACAAATGTATCCATTCGTATCCAAATAAAAACATAATGTATTTGTATTGCTGTCACATTGTATGGTGTGCTCCCATCTCTGTCAAACTGGTTTCTTGTTCCATTCTTTCGTGGACATCGGTGGCATCATCGGCAACGGCACCGACCGATTTTTCATTTATCGGACGACAATTCGGCTGATAAATGGCCCATCTTTGGCCTGCAATACTCTTGCCCATGGACTCAATCTCCTCCACTACCTCTGCATCAGACCCTTCAAAGTCATGATCTGGTCACAGTTTCCTCCAGGCTGAGTTTCAGGTTCGGTGAGGGACATCTTCCCAGGCTTTGTCAATGAGGTTGATGCCGTGGAGAACATTGAAACATTTCTTCCAGAATTCTTTCAGACTCAAGGACGTCTCTTCAGTGACGTTAGAACACCAAGTGAAGAGTGCCTTTGTGTACAGCTTCTTGAAGTTGCAGGTCACTTGCTGGTCCATGGGCTGCAGAAGAGATGTCGTGTTGGGGGTTGGGGAGAGGATCTTGACCTTTATGAAGTCATACTCAGTGTCCATATCATCTACCAAGGCTGGAGGGTGTGCCAGGGCATTGTCCATCAGAAGAAGGCACCTTTCAGGCAGTTGGTTTTCAGAAAGATATTTTCTTAGTGGGTGTGAACACCTTGTGCAGCCATTCCATGGACAAATGCCTTGTGAGCCAAACTTTCGCATTGGCCCTCCACATGGCAGGCAGTCTGGCCTTGTTCATTCTGTTCCTTGAATGCGCGAGGGGTCGGCAGTGGCGCGCCGCGAAGGGGTCCGGCAATGGCGCGCCACGAAGGGGTCCGGCAATGGCGCGCCACGAAGGGGTCCGGCAATGGCGCGCCACGAAGGGGTCCGGCAATGGCGCGCCACGAAGGGGTATGGGAATAGTACACCAGTGATATAGGTTCTGTTCAGCATCTTCTTCTAGAAAAACCCTGTTTCATCACAGTTGAACATTTCTTGAGTGACTTATCCTTCTGCCTTCATGAATTCCACAAATTCTTTGTAGGCTTCTGCAGCGGCCTTGTCAGGACTGGAAGCCTCACCACGTCTTGTCACACTGTGGATGCCACTTCTCTTGCGGAATTTTTCAAACCACCCTCTACTGGCTTTACATTCTTCACTTGCTGCACTTGTAGAGGTTTTTTGGCCGTAAATCGCTGTGCAATTTCCTGGCTGTGTCACAGATCATAGCTTCACCAATGCCATCACCTGTCAACTGTTTCTCATTCAACCACATGAACAAAGTTCTTCCACCTCTTCCAGGACTTGCGTCCTCTGTTGGTGAACATCGTTACTCCTTTTGCCACATCAGCTCCTTTGATGGCAGCTTTCTTCTTCTTGGTCGCCTTCATCACCGCTCGGCACGGTCTGGTCGCCTTCATCACCGCTCGGCGCGGTCTGGTCGCCTTCATCACCGCTCGGCGCGGTCTGGTCGCCTTCATCACCGCTCGGCGCGGTCTGGTCGCCTTCATCACCGCTCGGCGCGGTCTGGTCGCCTTCATCACCGCTCGGCGCGGTCTGGTCGCCTTCATCACCGCTCAGCGCGCGGTCTGGTCGCCTTCATCACCGCTCGGCGCGGTCTGGTCGCCTTCATCACCGCTCCGCACGTTCTTCTCCCCTTCATCCCCGCTCCGCACGTTCTTCTCCCCTTCATCCCCGCTCCGCACGTTCTTCTCCCCTTCATCCCCGCTCCGCACGTTCTTCTCCCCTTCATCCCCGCTCCGCACGTTCTTCTCCCCTTCATCCCCGCTCCGCACGTTCTTCTCCCCTTCATCCCCGCTCCGCACGTTCCTGTCCCCTTCATCCCCGCTCCACCACACGTTCCTGTCCCCTTCATCCCCGCTCCGCACGTTCTGGTCACCTTCATCACCGCTCCGCACGTTCTGGTCACCTTCATCACCGCTCTGTACGTTCTTCTCCCTTTAATCGCCGCTCTGCACGTTCTTCTCCCTTTAATCACCGCTCTGCACATTCTTGTCCCCTTCATCACCGCTCTGCACATTCTTGTCCCCTTCATCACCGCTCTGCACGTTCTTGTCCCCTCCATCACCACCAGGCTTGCTCTGCACATTCTTGTCACCTACATTACTGCTCGGCATGTTCTTGTCACCTTTATTACTGCTCTGCACTATTTTTTCTCACCACAAGAGATAACTGCTTGTACAGACTGAGGGAGAAGAGAAGCACTTTTTCTTACATTATCCAAAAGATGGTACTCCTCCCCCACGTCAATGGTGGACTGTCCCTCGGTGTCATCATCACAGGGGTATGGACCGGGTATTAGGTAAGTGAATCCCCCTACACCCCTTGGCATAAACAAGCACTGAACTACAGACAGAGGGGTAGGGGGAGAAAAGGCTTAAAAGGAAACATTAAAACAACAGAATATATAGACGAATGTCATCTCACAACATTCAGAATCACCAAGTCCACCTACCTGAGAATACAGAGGACGGGGACATCTCTCTGGTGGGTTCTTTTTACTGGATACATCCGCTTTAACCTCAGTTTTTATATCTTCCTTCTAAAATCACAACATGATTGTGAGCAATAATGACCTACAGAAGAACATAGTTCAAAGTCATGCATGATATCAACATAGTCCCACCTACCTGATGATGGTGGGGGATGGTGGGACCTTCCTGTGTGGAATCTCGGAAATACAGAGGAGGAGGACATCTCTTTGGTGGGTTTCCATTACTGGATCCATCTGTAGGAAACACACACACTGACTGAATCCATTGTTTCTATGTGTTCATCAGATGATGGGGGATCTAGGTGGACCCTCCGTACTGCTCTCTCCTTTACAATAAAGTCTCCTCTTACCCGGTGATGTGAGGGGCGGCTGATCCTCCTTCATGACGTCCTTGTAGAGGTCCTTGTGTCCTTCCAAATACTCCCATTCCTCCAAGGAAAAATAGACAGTGACATCCTGACACCTTATAGGAACCTGACACACACAATGAGACAGTCACCATCCAGACACATCCCTTGTCTGTTACTGGAGAATGTCCCAGAATTCCTGGCACCACTCACCTCTCCTGTCAGCAGATCAATGATCTGCTTACTGACTTCCAGAATCTTCTTGCCATTGTTCCTCTTGGGTTTCAGGGAATGAAGTGGAGGCACTTTGATGGTTAGATGGTCACCAGACTTCACCGGAGGAAAACTCTGCATTGGAAGAGCAACAATAAATGTCATGTGACCTCCCAGAATCCTCCTCACCTCTCTGGTCAGGTCCGTGTTTTATTAATAGAGATGAGAGTGACGTCATGTGACCTCCCAGAATCCCCCTCACATCTCCGGTCAGGTCTGTGTTTTATTAATAAAGATGAGAGTGATGTATTGTGACTTCCCAGAATCCTCACCTCTCCGGTCAGGTCTATTTTATTAATAGAGATGAGAGTGATGTCATGTCACCTCCCAGAACCCTCCTCACCTCTCCAGTCAGGTCTGTGTTTTATTAGTAGATATGAGAGTGATGTCATGTGACCTCCCAGAATCCTCCTCACCTGTCCGGTCAGCAGGTAGATGATCTCCAGGGTGAGGTTCAATATCCTCTCAGTCATGTGGCTCGGGGCGTCCTCCATCCTCATTGATGTGATCATGTGATCCATAGAAGACTGTGATCCCTGTAGACAGATAGTATAGCACCCTCGCTGGTCATTATAATACACAGACAAGTAGAGATTCATTTTAAATGTGGACAGTGTGCATTTGGAGCCATATCAGGTATGGAGCCGTGTCTGTGACCGTGCAGCTGTTGTGCCCTGATTGATATCACTAGGACTGCTTTGCACACCTGTGCACCCCTCTGCAGGTAAACGCAGCCCTCCATGGGCAAACACCCCATATGAATGAGGCTTTAACCCCAACAGGTCATGTTTTCAGGATTTCCTACTCCTTCCATAGGTGCTCTAAACTCAATGATAATCGCTTGGTATTTATGACAGCTATTATATCTAAGGGAAATTCCCAAAGCAGGGCCTGTTGGCGGTATCTGAAGTTGGAAAAGAGGGGCCCGAGTTTAGGAATTACTGCTGTAGAGTGCCACTTGAGGGACAAGTCTGAGCCTGCTGACATCACATCCAAGAGGACGGCGCCCATCTGCACATCACTCCAAATATTGAATCACTAAGATAGTCAACATGCAGCATCAAAAATATAACAGCTTATTTGGGAAAGAAGGACGCAACGCGCAGAGGTGGAGCCTGATGTGCTCTAATGAGCAGTCAGGGTTTTTTTTTTTTTTTTTAGATATCTAAAGGGAGACTTTTACAGGTATAGAAAATGAATAAAACACAGTAAACACACATCCTAGGGAAAGAATGTTGGTAAAATTAAAGGCCTGGTAACAGGGTTTCTCATTTTGAATAACGGGGAGGGTGGGAGAAGGAGAAAAAGTAACTCTACCTAGCCTTGTACATTGGCTTTGCTGCTACCACACCCCTAGGAAACGAAGTTGAGAAAAATCCTAACCAAAAAAGCTAATGGGGCTTTGAAGGTACCACACCATAACACTGTAAATATAGTAAACATGTATAGGCAATAGATAACATTTGACACCTTTTAATAGGTGAAAAAACCACCTATGGGTGCAAAAAAAAATTGATAGGCATATACATGAAAAAACATAAAATTGCAAACAACAAAGAAAAAGAAAGGTTGCAGCAAGTCGCGGCTGACGTCCTACACACTAAGGCGTCACGGGTGTCAGCTGCAAAGAACCGCAGCCACTACATAGGGACAGAGAAACTATGGAAATAGCAAGTAAAAATGCATGCTTAACAGTGGAGACATAAATGGTATTGAAACAACATCCAATTGGACAAAGTCATAGGTGTTGAAAAACAAGTCATTGAGGTGTTTTGCTTGTAAAGTCCAACGCGTTTCGTGGGAGGCAACCCACTTCTTCAGGGAACAAAACATAAAACCGAACCGAAGATACCAGCACACTCCTGCATAGCTCCTGATAGATATAGATCAGGAGCATCTGGATGAATAAGGAGAGACCTCCAACAGCCATAAGAAGTGGTCATCAATTACAGTGAAGGAAATGTGTATTTGCTCCCCGGCTGATGTTGAATGTTTGCCCACTCACAAAGAAATGATCGGTCTAAAAATCGAATGTTGGGTGTATTGTAACACTGAGAGACAGAATAGCAACAACAAATTCAGCAGAAATGCATGTCTAACAAATGATGACTGATCTGCATGTTCATGAGGGAAATAAGGATTTGATCCCCTATCATTCAGCAGGATTTCTGGCTACCAGGTGTCTTTCATACAGGTAACAAGCTGAGATTAGAAGCAGTCTCTTAAAGGGAGTGCTGCTAATCTCATGTTGTTACCTGTATAAAAGACACCTGTCCACAGGAGCAATCAAACAATCAGATTCCAAACACTCCACCATCGCAAAGACCAAAGAGCTGTCCAAGGATGTCAGGGACAAGATTGTAGACCTACACAAGGCTGGACTGGGCTACCAAACTATGGCCAAGCAGCTTGGTGAGAAGGTGACAACAGTTGGTGCAATCATTCACAAATGGAAGAAACACAAAACAACTGTCAGTCTCCCTAGGTCTGGTGCACCATGCAAGATCTCATCTCGTGGAGTGTCAATGATCATGAGAACAGTGAGGAATCATCCCAGAACTACATGTGACGATCTTGTCAATGATCTCCAGGCAGCTGGGACCACAGTCACCAAGAAAACAATTGGTAACACACTACCCGGACCAGGACTGAAATCCTGCAGTGCCCGCAAGGTCCCTCTGCTCAAGAAAGCAAATGTCCAGGTCCATCTGAAGTTTGCCACTGAACATCTGAATGATGCAGAAGAGGACTGGTGGAAAGTGTTGTGGTCAGATGAGACCAAAATTGAGCTCTTTGGCATCAACTCAACTCGCCGTGTTTGAAGGAGGAGGAATGCTGCCTATGACCCCAAGAACACCATCCCAACTGTGAAACATGGTGGTGGAAACATTCTGCTTTGGGGAGGGTTTTCTGCTAAGGGGACAGGACAACTGCACCGCATCAAAGGGATGATGGACGGGGCAATGTACCATCAAATCTTGGGTGAGAACCTTCTTCCCTCAGCCAGGGCATTGAAAATGGGTGGTGGATGGGTGTTCCAGCATGACAATGACCCAAAACACACGGCCAAGGCAACAAAGGAGTGCCTCAAGAAGAAGCACATTGAGGTCCTGGAGTGGCCTAGCCAGTCTCCAGACCTTCATCCGATTGAAAATCTGTGGAGGGAGCTGAAAGTTCAAGTTACCAAACATCAGCCACCAAACCTTAATGACTTGGAGAGGATCTGCCAAGAGGAGTGAGCCAAAATCCCTCCTGAGAGGTGTGCGAACCTGGGGGCCAACTCCAGGAAGCGTCTGACCTCTGTGATTGCCAACAAGGGATTTGCCACCAAGTACTAAGTCATGTTTTGTGAAGGGGATCAAATCCTTATTTCCCTCATGAACATGCAGATCAGTCATCATTCGTTAGACATGCATTTCTGCTGAATTTGTTGTTGCTATTCTGTCTCTGAGTGTTACAATACACCGAACATTCGATTTTAGACCGATCGTTTCTTTGTGAGTGGGCGAACATTCAAAATCAGCAGGGGAGCAAATACGCATTTCCTTCACTGTAAGCAAAAGTCCAAATATATTTGAAGACTTGCGAAAGACAAAGTCATTGTTCATTCAAACAAACACGTATTGGCCAGGTACTAACAATCATCAGATGTGGTCAGGCACAGCTTGCTTTCCAAAAGTGGGGAAAGGAAGTCTTGTCAAACGAAGGGGGGGGGGGGGGGGACAACCTCAAACCCTCTTTGCCTCCTGTGTAGTCCTCCGTTTCTCATTTTGAACCTTCTAAAGTCCTCCCCGCAGTTATATTCCCATCACCAGCGGTCCCATGCTGCTTCTGCTTCTATTGCTGCTGGGCAAACAAACCCGATGCTTCCAGGTATGCGGGAGAATGTGACCTCCTCCCAGTGACAGTTACTGCCAACTGCAAAGCCCAAGCACTGTCACATGACAGAGGGGGTGAGGTCACTACTCCCCTCATCCTCCAACACAGGGGACATATTGGATTCCAGTGTCAGCTGCACTGCCGGGATAGGAAAAGACCTGAAGCGGCCAAAAGAGCTGCACCGAATGGTGGGTATGGCCAGATTGCACCGAAATTGGGAGGGGTTAAAAACCGTACATTGTTTAGGCTCTGGATGGACGGTTGGATAAATGGTTCTATATTTAGGACGTATCCGGTCTATAAACCAGAGGCTCTGGATGGACGGTTGGATAAATGGTTCTATATTTAGGATGTATCCGGTCTATAAACCAGAGGCTCCGGAT